AGGCTCATTAATTCACACTTACTCAAGCAAATGTTAAATGGTAAACCTGAGGCAACACCTGTGGCAGCAGTGGAGCAAACAGAACCCAGGAATGTGATGGGAAGTAGGGATTCTTTATAAAAAGTAAATGAGAGAACTTTTAAGGAGCTGGCACCAGTTCCTTATCAGCTCACAGTGCTGTTATTGCATGGTTTAACAGCATCTTCAGAGAGCATTTTGTTATCTGAGCTCTGTTATTCCATACTTGTGTCACCAGCAATAAGATGCTCGGCTGACTGGCATGCTGGGAGAAGCATTGGAAATATGGATTATGGGACTGAAACTTGCTGTTTCTAAGAAAGGTTAAAACAATTCTTATGGAGACTGCAGTTGCCTGAACCATTTGAACCAGGGATATTAATACAGCCTGGAGGGTAGAAGGTCATTTGGCTTCCTTCCCAGTCTTGGCTACCCACTTAGTCTCTATACAATACACAGTATTGCTGTTCCTCAAGTTATTCTGGATTTTTTTATTTTATTTTTTAAATCAAAAGGCATTACTTTATTGTGTGTTCCACTTAACAGAAAAAGATTTGTAAGAGAATTCAGAAAGGTTTCTGGTAGTAGATTGACTAAATGTGATATGTAAATCACTTCAGACTTGCAGCTCCCCATTGAAAATAGCTGTGTGCAATTGTCCAAGTCATCTGGGCGCACCCTGTAATTACAGAAGAATCCAGGCAGCCTTTAATTTCAGGCATTTATGCCTTTCATCCGTGTTAACTGGATCTGACCACACTTCTCATTCACCCCTGTTTCCAGTAGATTGCCCAAATGTTTCGTATCTTTGCTGGAGCGTTTCAGCTGAACTGGAGTGTTTTGTTTGCTCAGGAGGTTGATCATGCTAAAAGGAGCCATTCTTCACTCCTCTTGCTTCTTAGGAAGTGTTCAGAACTTGCCTGGTCAGAGCCTGAAGCTTGTACACTTCCTCTGATAGAACTGCTTTGCCTGACATGGCCCCAACCACTTAGGGTGCAATAAATCAAATTAGATTGGCAGTTTCATGCAGCTGTTGTTAAAGATGGGCAGGTTTGGGTCATCTTTGGAGGTTGCCTTTCAAAGTGCCTCGATCCATTTTACGTTAGGAAGGTCAGGGTTCAGATGTGCAGGGATGGGGCTCACGAGGAGGAGGTTCCTGTTCAGACATGTGTGTTTAAATATAACCAGGTGAAAACACTGAGCTGTTCAGGACTTGGCCTGTGAGGAGATGTGGCTCTGGGCAGGGATGAGCTGGAAGGGCAGCAGAAAGCTGAGCCTCTTAAAGGGGGAGCTGCTTTTAAAAACAAGGCTTTGACTTGTTCAGTGTATTTACTTTAACCTGTTGTGTCTTCAGTACGTAAATTTGTATTCTCTATGGGCTGAACCTCCATAATCAGCCACTCTGGCATGTTCCTGGTGTTCCATTCCATACCCATGGCTTGGGAGAGGCAGGAGGGTCTGTCCAACACTGAGGAGGGGGTGGGAGGAGTGATGCTCAGGTCGTATTTGTTGCAGGCTTCCTTCCACACAGTTCCAGGCTATCTTCAAGCTGATTCATGTCTATAATCGATAATTCTGGGTGCTAGAGAGAAGATTCTGACTCAGAGAGCCATTGCTGCGGGCACAGCAACATCTGCACAGTGGGAATATCTTCTGTCAGTATTTTAACGTACTCAGCCTGCAATGAAGAGCGTGTGATGTCATTGGTGCTTTTTGCTTGGAGTCGAAAATCTCGTGAAACCTAATGGGGTGGTGCTTTTTTCAGATAAACAAGAAGTTGTTTTTAGTGAGAACAGATCACACAGGTTTCCCTGTGTGTCTTTGCTGTGGCTCTCAGAGCTCTCTGTTATCTGCAAGCCAAGGTCCCCTTCCCAGGGCAGGGGGCTGAGGTCAATCACTTGCAGGTGTTGAGTGTCTTTTAGACTTGGCCTGCCACTGATATCATAGATAATACATTTGCTCTCTCAATAACATTGCCTGGATTTTTACTTCTTTTTTTTTTTTTTTTTTTTTTTTTATTTAATTTTGCCTTTTAAATGTCAGGTACTTTAGTGTTCCTAGAGACAAACCATACTTTGATAGCTGTGCTTCCAGATCCCAGGTCTCTTCATATTCCCAGTGGATGTGTAGCAGCTGATGAGCTTTCATTTGAAGAGAATGACCTGTTTTCACTGACAAGTGGCACTGCAGGTGTCTTTAGCAGTGTGGATCCACTGATGGTGTGCTGAAAACATTGGAGTGCCAGTGACCACGAGGTGTTCTGGGATGATACAGTGGCAAATTTTTTGTGCTAAAGCTCAGTCTGATCTTATGCTCATTCTGCATCTTCCTCCTAAGTGGTGCCATCCTTTCTAGGTTAACTCCCAGGGCTCTCCTGAGGAGCCACATGCAGTTTTTCAGACCTTGGGGTGGGGGTTGTGCTGTAAACACCCTGGGAGACAGAAATCACCAAGCTGTCCATGCTGCAGTTTGGGACTGTGCATCAACAGCATCAACACAAATAGCTCCCACATACTCATGGGCTGTGTGTTGAGGAGCAGAGAGGTGGGGCAGAGAGACTGAGACAGGTTCTGCTGCCAAAACAATCAAGAGAAGTGAATAGTTTCCGAGGTGTTCATTCCCTAAATTGTTTTCCTTTTTTTTTTTCTTTCCCAAATGGCTTCAGGGGAGCCAGAGATCTTCCGAGAAATCAGAGTTGTCTCTATTTTGACTTAATTCCTCTCGGTGTGGTGTAGTGGAGGAGGTATTACAAATAAAGCTGCAGTGTAGCAAAACACGGATCACTTTCCATTTACCATGTCCTTATATCCCAAATTCAAAACTGGTTAACACAGAAGCCAAGATGAAATGCCACAGAAGAGTTCATACCATGTATCAAGTGGAAATGCATTTGTTTAGAGGAAAATAACCAAACTTCTTTGATGCTTGTTGGAGGTAAAAGTGGAACTAAGTGGTTTTGAGTGTGTCTAAGTGTTTGCTTGTGCACTCTGAACTGAACAGTTGAGCTGAATCTTTGAACATTCGTTTGGGGTTTGCATTTAGGACAAAAATTCGGATTTGAGTTGGTTTTCTCTGTTGGTCATGGCATACCACTTTGCAGTAGATTCCATCTGTGGTTTGAATATGGTCAGCAGAACCCCATCCTTGAACTTTTGCTTGTTTGCAAGACTTGGATCCAAGAGTTACTGAAGCTGACTGGCTGGACAGTGGTGTTGAGGATGTGAGAGTTTTTGAACTTACTTCTGATTGTTGTAGACATTAGTGCTTCTTACCTGTACATACTGGTAGATGGGAGGAGGAGAACATTTTTTATTATAGTTAAAACTACAAAGAGGAGTAAAATTATCAAACTGATGCTGGGATAGTGAAATACTGTAGGAAGGAGCAGTTTGGGATCTCACGTGTCTCGTAATAGCATCATAAAAACAAGGATAGATATAATGTTCCCACACAAACAAGACTTGCCTCTTTGTCTAGTCCTGTTGCTCAGCTAAGGCTTTGTTTGTTCCTGTTTCCATGGCCTTTGGCAGAGAGGAGGAACGACCTCCATTTTCCATTTCTATCATACACTATAAAATGAGAATATTGGCATTTGATGATAGGCTATTTGCTGATAAAACATACTGGCCTCAGTAAAAACACTTCTGTAACTTGGCAGTGAGTCCTTTCCCACTAACTGCAGATTGATAAATAGAAAGGAACTTGTCTGAAACTTCAAGAAAGCAGAGTAATCCAACTTCTGCCAATCCCATATACACGAATTGGGCTTCCACGGAGCGACTTTATGGAACAGGCAAAGCCCAGGCAGCTTTCAGAGCAAAATCATTTTTTTCTTATGGTGGTGTTCAGGCAGTGCCTCATTTTCCTTTTATCTCCACTGACAGATGTTAGTAGGGCCTAGCACAGCGTGGTTGGCTGGTGCAGTGTGGTGGTGTTGGCTGCTTTCGGAGCCCTTTAGGTTTGTAGATTTATTACAGCCAGATATTCCGGCCTGAAATACTCTGCACTGCTTCAATTTGAGTCATGTTTGGTTATGGACATTTATTGCTAATTTGAAATCCTGTCTGACTGGACAAAGTCCAGGTTGGAGACAACTAATCATCATAAGCAAAGAGCACATGCTAAAATAATTCCTGTCTGGGTTTTCGTGTGTCTGCATTAGCTATTGTGTGAGAGATGCAGTGAAAGCCTTGCCTTTGGGGGAATCTTGAGAGAAACCACAAACCAGCTAAGGAAAAGTGAAGTGGCAGGTTGCCTGAACTGAGGTGCAGCACACAGGATGATGTGGCTGGTGGGAACGATTGGGGGGTGGCTCCACACCTGCCATGGGGTGAGAGATGGGGCGGTTCCACCGTGTCCTGGAGCCTCCCCACTCCAGCAGTTGTATCACTTAGTTCACTGTTTTGTTTTTAGCTGGTGTTTGGGACCACAGCTGCTGCTACAGCAGCAAAACTTGGCCCTGAGAATTCCTTAGTGTGCTGGTATGGCCAGTCAGTGCCCACAGGAGCATTGGAAAGGTCACCTTGTTCACAGGAGCAGGACTGGGCCACCAGCCTGTTCTCAGTGCAGCTGTGCCTCTTGAGAGAGTCCCTGTGAAGAACCCTGAGTGCACTCTGTACTCCTGGAAGTCTTTGTGTTTTAAAGGGGCTCTCTCTCCAGATGGGCTGACTTTAAAATACCATTTTCTGTTTCTGTAATCACTGTAATCCACACTGTGGACTTCAGCTGTCACCCACTGTCCAGAAACAAGGGGAAGGAAGATGGTTTTTTTTTTAACCATTTAAACTTGCAACTGTACTAAGACTATTTCTTGCCAAATGTTTCTTTTTCACCTCCCTCCTTTTGGAGCTGGCAGTGGTGGGAGTGTCACTACAGATTTTCCTAGCTCAGCTCTGGGGCTTTTGTTCCATGACTGCATAAAATCTACAGTTTGGAGGTTTTTTGTAGCACTGCTCAGGGCTGGTTTGTGTTTTGTCTTACAGAATATTGATATTACCAACTTCAGCAGCAGCTGGAGTGATGGGCTGGCCTTCTGTGCTCTCCTGCACACCTATTTGCCTGCACATATTCCTTACCAGGAGCTCAACAGCCAGGACAAGGTAAGTTGTGTTGTGGCTGCTCCTGCAGTGTTTGCAGAATTCACGGTGCATGGAATGGATGAAAAGGGGAAGGAAACCAGCAGTGAGTTCCCAGAGGGAAAAGCAGGGACTGCTGGATAAAGAGCCAGTGAGAGGTTGGCTGAATGCAGCGAGTGCTGTGGGCAGCATCCCTTCTGGAAGGCTAAAGCATTGCTGGACTCCTGAGGTAGCAGCACACATTCCACATGCTGGATCACCAGTCTGGATCCTCACAAAGGGGAGGAATCTGGATTTGCCTCAGACAGTTAGCACCTGTTACAACAAGAATTATACTACATAGAGGAATGCCTTCCATTAGTCAACACCTCTGCAGAAACCTGTCACTCATAATAAAGACAGAAGCTCAGTGGGGTTTTTTTTCCAAGTTATCAGTTCACAAGAACCATTTTGTAAAAAACAGAGGGATGTAGCTTGGGCAAAAGTAGATGAGCTATTCAAAGACAAAGAACTTGTGAGTGTGCCTTGCTAATCCAAAAAAGTGTCTGTGTGCAAGTGTGGAATCAAGTGGTTTACAGTCTTCAAATATACCTGCTCATTTGAACTAACTGATTACCCAGATGCAAGGAAGGGTTCAGGAATCATACCTTGGTGTCAATCCTTTTGAACTTTTATTTTTACAGAAGAGAAATCTGCTATTAGCATTTCAAGCTGCTGAAAGTGTGGGCATCAAACCCAGTCTGGTGAGTGACCTTGTTTTAGCAAGGGAGGATTTGCTTCATGTGCTGTTCCAGTGCCTTTGTTGCCATGTGGCCACTCTGTGCCCTTGCACTGAAAGTGTTCACATAGTGCTGGGGAAGGCTTGTGCCATCATCATCTGAAAGCTCACAGTGTTAGGAAAACTTCCAGAAAGAACTTGAAGAATCACAGAATTAATATAATTTGAAGGAACTTATGAAGGTCATCTAGTATTGAAAAGAGGGTATTGATTATGTCCTCCTCTGGGATGCCAACTCCAGATTATTCATATTTTCATGGGCAGACTCCCTGTTAGAGCATTTTGTTTCCTTTTGCTTTTGTGTTTGAAGAGACAGAAAGATAATTTGCTTTTTAACTGTTCAAAAAGCCTTTTCCAAAATCAACAATATGGCAAGGGCGAGATAAGTTCAATACGAAGGGAAAAATATTATGGGGTTCATGAGCTAAATGCAGAAGCAAAGGCATGCAAAGAGGCAGCAACTTAAATGAAGTTATAAATGAAGTTGCAAGTGAAGTTACACAGAGAATTGGTCTTTGCAGATGGAAGGAGTCTTTGCAGACTGTAGGCTGTGTGGGGTTGTTTAACCAGTTTGTTAACGAGTTTCGAATTGCACTTGGCCCGTAGATCATTGCAATGTGTGTGGCTTTACGGAGCTCTGGGGTGGAAGGAGGAGTGTTCAGTGGCCTCAGCTCCTCAGGGGACCCTGGTGGTGCCTGGCTGAGCTCTGCTCTGTGTGTCCTGTGCAGGAGCTCAGCGAGATGATGTACACGGACCGGCCGGACTGGCAGAGCGTGATGCAGTACGTCGCCCAGATTTACAAGTACTTTGAGACCTGAGGTGCAGAGCAAGAGCTGGACAGAAGTGGGGAAGAGAACAAAGAATGCTACAGATGCACTCGATCACTTTAAAAACCCGCTTGCTCCTCTTCCACAGCCAACCGAAGCTCTTAGTTGGAAAGAAAGCTCTTCCGTAACTTCGATTACATCTGGGACTGCAACCAAATAAATACCTGTTGTCCATCTTTACAAGCCAAATTCATCTGTAATTTTGTTGCCACGTGGAAATTGCAAAGCATTTCTGAGTATACACTTGGGATATTTCTGGAGATTCCCTTGGGCTAACAATGTTTGCCTCGACAGGAGACCTACAAAAGTGAAGTTCTGTGCTGGCACTCAAGGGAGGCTGGGAGATTAATATTAATGCAGAAAGCTCACAAAAATGCTCTTCTTGCCAAAACATGCTTAACTCATCCCAAATACATGTTGTTTTCTTGTCTCCATGTGTTTTCTAGAACGCCATGACAGATGCACTAAGTGTGTAGAACCTTAACCTGAGCTACTCACACACCTCACCCAATAACTGCACTAGTTTGCTCCTTGTAGTGTCATCAGCAGGACAATAACAGGACCATTTGTGACCCTCTGTTCCATCACCAGTTAGTGAAAGAACTCTAAAAGATCCTGTTAGGTGCAGGGACTTCATTTCAGCTCAAACAGAAGTAATCTCTTTGAGGAAAAATAGATTTACTACGACAACTTTGTTACTTGATTCCTCCGGGAAGCCAGAGCTCGGTTTCCCAGCTGACTGTGCAGGCACAGTTATCACAGGAATGTTGCAAATGCAGTTTCATAGCTTTAGCCTGGAAGGTGCCAGTAATCAGGTGATGACTCTGAGCAATACAGTGACATCTCAGTAGTTCATGTTTTTTGTGGATTGAGTGGAGTAACTTCCTTTTTTTCTGTGTTGCTCCTGTCTAGTCAGCACAGATGCGTAATTGCTGCACAGAGTCATGAATCTAGAGACAGCCTGTGCCCTGTCCAATAAAATACAGTCCACAGGGCACTGTTACATGCTTGGAAGTGATGTTACCCTGTAAATGATCACAGTGATATATTAGTACCAATGGAAGTTGCAACTTCACTCCACAAATTACGAAGGATGTAACTGGAAGCCGTCTCTGTGTGATGGACACGAGGCGCCAGCGAGCAGCTTTCCACCTCGCTAATACTGTTAGCAGAATGTCTGAAAGGTGCTGTTCAGTTCCATTTCACTGTTTCTCTTGTTTCACCTCGTGAAGTGAATTTTTTCTGTTTGTCTCCGAGGATGGCAGGATCAAACAGGCCGCCTGATGTGTTCCTGGAGCAGGTTTGGGAGAGCATCCATGTGCAGGATCTGGCAGAAGGCTGGCCTGGCTGCTCCAGGCTGTGCTGGTAGGAGGAAGTTGGTGTTTAGTTACTGTGTTTGACCCTGTGACCAGACCTGATGCTTTGTGAGCATTAGTCTTAGGGAGCAAGGGGTTGTTTCTCTCTTACAAAAAAAAAAATGGTACTCACTGCTCCTAACTCCTGAAAAAAGGCTCATGGAATAGAAATGAGATTTCACAGAAGAAACTTGGGTTTGGGGTTTCTGGGGCTTTGCAGGTGGCTGATCTCAACCTCTGGTTTCCCTACAGTGCTTTGTTGTTTGATTTTATTTTTTTAATACTATTTAATTAGTAAACAACCTAGTTCAGACTTTGGTTTTCTCACAGCAAAATGCTGGATTCAGGGATAGATGGCAGAGCCCAAGGCCAGTGAGTGTATTGAGCAGAAAGGACGTGTGTGCCTGTTCTGCAGAAGGAGAAAAGCATCACTTGCTCTTGGTTTTAGTCTGACATTTATTCTGTGGGAAAGTCTGATTCCAATCTTTTGAGAGCCTGTGTGATGGCAGGGGACAGTGGCACCCCCTCAGGGTGCCCTTGCACGCTTGGTGTCATCCTATGCTGTGAGAAAGCAGTTGTGAATGCTGGCCAGAGTTAGATCTTTGCAAGAGACTGCTTTCCAGATGGAATTAACTCTCCAGGATTTCTCAGCACACGCTCTGGCATCCCAGAGCAGAGAACCTGGGATGAGCTGCCCTCCGTGTTCCCAGATACAGGTCTCCTCCTGTGGGATAAGGTGGAAGAGGAGAACTCTGCTGAGTGGAGTTCATTTAGCCAGGCAGTCACACTGCAGAGCTCCACTGCCTCGTGGATGCAGCAGCTCTTTTCCCTGGAGGTGTCTCCTGGCAGGGATCCCAATTCTCTCCAGCGGGCTGCAGTTCAGAGCCGTGCTGGAGTCAGCACAGAAAATTCCATATTCCTCAGTGGGCTTTGGATCAGGCACTTGCAGGGATGAGAAAAACTGTTTTAATTCCCAGCCTCTGGTAAACATTTCCAAGTCAGAGGGCTCCACTTGATGTAAAAAGAAGGATAATCTTAACCCTGTGGTCACTGGGAGTGTGTCCCGAGTGACTCAGTGCACACGGAATGTGTCTTATCCCTGTGTCAGCATCCTTTGCTCCGAGCGCTGTCCTAACACTCATCTGTGTCTCCAAGGCTCACTCCAACCTTCCAGACCATTCTGTGGCATCTGAAAGCTTTTCTTTTCCCCCAAATGACTTGGGCAAAGAAAAGTTTCTGTCGTCTCCTTGCAGTTTGTTCTCTGTGCCCCCCCAGTAGCACGGACCAACCACTAATTCTACCCAATTCTGATGGTATGTTCTGAAATTTTTTTACAGGAGTTAAAGCACAGAGCTGTAACAGGGAAAAAGATGCTCAGTTTCACCTTTTGTTCAACGTTGCTGTTCAGTCCTCAAACCTGAAAAAATCTCATTTTGAAAAGCTGATGCTTTGAGATTGAGAGATGGTTTTCCAGATCATTTTTCTGTTACAATGTTATGTATTTTTCTTCCCTTTGAACTTTGCAAAATTACATTTCTAGACTTGCATTTTCACAGATTACTGTTGTTGTTTTTTTCATGCTGCCTTAAAATTTCAATATGAATTTAAATTTGTCCTACACAAGGTGCTGCAGACCAGCCTGATTTTCAGAATCTACAGGCCTTTGTCGGACATCTCAAATTCGAAATGCAAACCTTCGAGCTGCCTTTAAATTTTAGGGAGTTTAGTCAAGGGTAAGCTATGGAGAGTTCTTTATAGAAATTTTGAGAATCCTCTGAAGATGTCCTGGAGTGGAACATGGGATGGAATGACGTGGATGGTGTTCAGCAGCACGGACACTGTTGGAGCAGTAAGTTTGCCTAAACTGCCTCAATCCTTTCTGTCTTTGCCTCTTAGGAGTAATGGATCTTTCCCTGGTGCAGGCAGATGGAATCTCTTCCCACGTCTCCCTGAATACACCCTCACTCTTAGGCACCTGCACGTGCCTGGGTGTGTACTTGGGAACTCTGTTGGACTGCTGATTTTGGATGAGCACGTGGGAAGGGTGGTTGGAATGGGGATTTCAGGGACATTCCATGGAGGAATATTGACTGCAGCGTGTGACTGTTGTACTGTAGCCTTTAGAGAGAGAGAGGAAAGGAGATTAAAGTGGCTCCTGGAATTTTGGGTGAGACATAGAAGGTACAGATTGTTTCATGGCTTGGGAAGGTACAGAGGTGTGGAGGAGCCAGCCCAGAGTCAGCCCTCTGAGAAGGTTTTCTAGGAAGGCTGGAGAGCTGTTTCAGAAAGTACATGGGGAGACTGAGTAGAGTGAGAGTCCAGCGTGTGAGGAGCAGGGAATGTGGGACAGACACACCTGGGCCTTTGTGGACAGCAAAGGACGTCAGAGAATCCATATGGATTGTCAGCTTAAGGAATATTACTCCTCAGAGTGCAGCCTGGGGTGGATCTCAGAAGATAAGGGTGACAGCACAGCTGCCTTTGCTGGGTTCCCCTTCCTGTGCCTGTGACAGTCACGGAAATGCAAAGGGGACAAAGATTTCCCAGTTCTTCCTGTGCTGCAGCAAGGCAGCTGTGCTAAGCAGAGGGATTTTTGGCTTGTGCACATCCCCTTGGAGTTTTGGCAGCTTTCTTTTTGTGGTCTGAAGTTTGTTTTTTACAGGTTTTCTCTGTGATTTATCTTGGTTTGTGAGTTCAGTTCTGTGCGAGCTTTCTGGCCAGACCCAGTGAGTGCTCGCAGGCAGAGCGGGTGGTTCTTCCTTGTTTGGCTCCTGACCTGCAACCCTTCAGAATCTACCCTTTTGCCTCCCTGGCTTTTCCCCCTTCCTTGGCAATGACCTCCTGAGCCTGGGCTTGTTGGTTTTTCCATATCTCCCTCATCCTGCCGTGCTGGGGGTACCGGCTATTCCAGCGGGAAGGATCTGGCAGGGCCAGCGGTTGGCAAAGCTGAGCCCTGTGCGTCTGATCACAGGCAGGGGCTGTATGGGATGAGATGATGCATTTTCCTGTCACAAGAGGGCTATTGCCTAAAAAAGACTCAGGGCATGGAGCATTAAGGCATCTTTAAACCCAGCAATAACTTGTACTATGCTCAGCTGTTGGTTTGTGCCAACGCCGGTGCCATCTGCGCTCCCTCACCGACACGGTGCGGAAACAGCTCCTCACTGAGCTGCAGTTCACGTCTTTTTCTCGGCTGATGGTCTCTACATTTTTGACTTGCACATGTGCCAAGTCCCTCTGGGCAGTGCTGGACACAGTGTTTTTATTGACTGTTGGTCCAGGCTTGAGTTTGCCACGTGGGATAATCAACCTCTGACAGTTTTAGCTTTCCTTCTTGGGTACAGATGTTACATGGTAACCTAATTTATACAAAGAGCACATTAGAATGTACATACTAGGCATTGCCAGGTTTGGACATGCTAATATTTAAATATTAACATTATTAAAATGTACGATGCAAAAATCCGTGTAATATTTCTAATAAATCTTTTTCTGTTTCTGATGTTCATTGTAGTGTTTCAGTTATCTTACATACAACACAAAATGGAAGGTGCTTCCCATCCTTGGAAGTGTTAAGGTCAGTTTGAATAGGGCCCTGAGCAACCTGCTCTAGTGGAACTGCCCCTGTACAGGGCATGGGGTTGGAACTGGATGATATTTAAGGTCCCTTCCAGCCCAAACCATTCTGGGACTCTCTGAGTCTATGAAAACAGATTCTTCCTCATTCTGCTGGGAAGCAGAACCCCCAGGAGAGTTTTTAAGATACCTGTGGTTTCACTGATTCTCCTGCACTGGTAGCAAAGAAAATTTTGCTCAGAATCTTCTTTTCATAACTACATCGTGTTTCATTTTTTAATTTATATGCATTTGGATGGCTTTCAGAAGATTGTTTTGGGGATAAAGGAGTGCAAGAGATCTCTGAGTTTCTGAAATAAGTAGTGCTGAAGAGACAATAGGAAATCATCTGAGTGCTGAGGAAGGAAAGGGCACAGAAGAGACCAGTGTGTCTCTGCACTAGAGGCTCTTAAAAGACTAGAGGATTAGGAAAGAGCAGTCAGAAAGTGGAAGGATGTGACTCGAGTAAGAGTAAAAATGAGTCACCAGTAAGTGAGGAGGCAGATGAGTTCCGGCTCACAGAGCTCAAGCCACCTGGCAGCAGCAGCAGGATGGTACACAGGGAGCAGAGGGTGAGCACAGCATGAGCACGGTGACAGAAAGGGATCCCTGAGCTCCTGCAGGCCCAAGGGACTGGAATCCCACGGGATTTCATGGAGGGCAGTCCCCTGGAGGCTGTGCTCCAGCCACCATCCAGTCTTTGTGCAGAGCTCTCAAAGGTGCTGAGATCAAATTCCAGAACACTTTCACAGAGGCTGCTTTTGTCTGAGGAAGGTGGGGGCAACACCTGAGCAGTCAAATCACTGAGTCAGCAAAGCAAACAAGCTGATAAAGGAAGTGGTCATTGGAATCTCTTCAAGCCTCTCAGGTGTCTTTGTGTCCAGCTGTGGAGGTGAAACAGTTCTCCTTTGCATAATCCAAACTACTTTGCCTTTCCCCACCCAAGTATCGTGTTTCAGCCCTGGGTTTTTAGTGCTGGGCATTAAAGGATGTTCTTGGCCTCTGCTGTCTCAACTCTCCTCAGAATACACTCCTGATGCTCTGATTTATTTGTTGGGGAAAGCTGGATTCTCTATGCACATATCCATGGATATGTTTGCAAGTGGTTCAGCAAGAGGCTGAAAATGAAATCTGAGGCCAGTGTTTCCCGGGGATGATTTGTGGGTGGTTTTAGATGGGCTGAGATGACAGGATTCAGGGCTGCTTTGTGGCTCAGGGTGCTTTTAGTGCCAAGTGACTCCTGATGCTTAGAGAAGGTGGATTGGCATGGAAAGAACGATTCCCTTCCTGCCTGGTGAAAGAGAGAAGCCATAAGGGATCAGAGAGGAGCATAAGCAGCACGAGGAGAATAAAAGAGTCTTCCAGATGGAAACCTGATGGGCTGCAAAGGTCAGAACCAGGTGGGTGACATCTCACAAGTAGAGAATTTCAGAATTCAGTGCTGGAAAACTACAGGCACAAGCTCTGGGTAGCAGGACCCTGGAGTCAGTGTCCCCCAGGGAAGATGACAGTCAGGTGGGGGCAATCTCTGGGTTTATTGAGCAGAGCAGGGAGAAAATGAAGCTGTAAAATGCCAGTGTGGGTAAACATTATTCATATATCCAGAAAGTGAACTGCTGTCCTTTCTTAAGTACACAGCAATAACTGAGGCTTCATCCTTGCCCACACAGCAGGAGTTTAAGCTGGTTAAAGAGAAAATAACAAGATTAAGAGAATTAATGTGGGAGCCTGACCTGCTCCACACAGACAGCTGTGCACCTTCTGTGCAAAGGTGCATGTTACCACTTCTCCTGGCTTAGAAAAAAAGAATATATAGCAGTTCAAACCCTTGTTCCACCTTGATGTCCTGTAAGTTTTATCTTCTCAGTCAGCTCATCCTTTCTCTCAGGGTAACCCACTCCCATGCTCTAATCAGGGAGGCCAAGGAACTCCTCCAGGTGAGTGATTTGTCCTGACATTCCCAACATTTCTCCCAACAGGATCAAGCTCCTGGGAAGTGAGGCTGCAACCGTGACTCTGCTTGGGGTTTTTTTCACTTACAAAACATCTTCTTGTTGTCCTTGCCCAAACTGAAACTGCAGCCAGGGCAGCTACAGGGAAAGCCACGAGCGTGGCCTCTTGCTCAAGTGTTCCAGTCCAGGCAACCCAACGGGTCTGAATAGCAAAGCATTAAAAATAATGTCTGCACAGTTCAGCCCTGGAGAGCAATTGCACTGCCAGGGCCCTGGAGAGCTGTTCTGGGAAGGGAGAGTTCTGTCTGAAGCTTGCAGAGGGGTTAGTAATATTAATAATAATTAATATGCCATGTGATAGTGCAGGCCAGGTTCTTCCCTTCAGCTCTGATTAGACACTGCTTTCAAAGGGACTGAGCTAGGAGGGTTTCTGACAGAGCCTTGCAAGGATGGAAACCACATGAATAAAGTTCTTGGGCTTTAACAGCACTAGGTTTATTTTTGCCACTACTTACAGAGCCTGGACAAAACAGAAATCCCATTTCTGTGCTGCAGCAATACAGTAGGGGCTGTGTAATAATGATATTTGGGTTCAAACAGGTTTTGAGTGCAAATTCAGTATTTGCTGGCAGCTGCCTGGGGACAGGAAGGCTGGTCCTGCCTCTGCATTGGCTGATTTGAATTTTTTGTGTGTATTCTGCAGTTTCCCTTCACCACAGCTAAGCTGCTCTTTAACCCCTGAGTGACCTGCATGGCCCTGCCTGTGACAGGAGCCTGGCTTTTAGAGGTCAGGGGTGGTTTTCAGAGCTCTAGCTGGGACCTAGGACACCACAGGTTTCTCTCCATGTCCTCTGATAGCTGCAGATCATCGCAGTAATAGGAATAACAGATATTTATAAATCCTGATCTTATCTCACACAGAGAAAGCAGGCTGAAGTAGTTGAATTAAATCTTGCTTTTCTCTCGAATTTGAGCATAATTCCCTATTCAGAGAAGTTGTGCTGCAGCAGTTCAAGTCCTCTCATTGCAGTCATTTGGAGCTCCAAATGTCACATCTTTGCACAAAGCAGGAAGGCTTTGAAGGCTCGGGGTGAGAGCACATTTCCCTGCTGCCAGGGTTTGGCAGGGAGCAGAATCGCTTCTCGTTGCTGTGAAGTGTTGATTGGGTGTTGCTGTGAAGTGTTGATTGGGAGTGGAGAGGGCACTTAGCAGGTTGGCTTTCTGAGGGCACGAACTTGTGTGAAGGCTCTGCCCGGGGAGCAGCTCGGCTGTGAACCAAGCGCTGCAGCGATCCCGGCTTGTTTGAATTGCAAAGGGCATCACTGCCAGTCCGGCTTCGCCGGGGCTTCCCCCTGCTGATGTTGGCCTGGAAACACAACACTTGCTATTGATTTCTCGGGGGAAATTGGCTGTACCAGCTTCACCAATGCAAAGGGGACACTGGGCCCAGGACTTGCTGGGAAATCTTGCAGCCAGGGCTTTCCTTTACAGCAGCAGCTTTCCTTTACAAACCCTGCTGGAAGAGGGACTTGGCTTTTCATCACAGAAGCTGGTTCGTACATAAAATCAAGCACAGAGGTAAGTGAAAAATTTCCTCAAAATGATGTTCTCATACCCTGGCATCCCCTCAGCCAAAATCCTTCCTTTTTAATTCCACTGCTGTTTATGCTGGGGTTTTTTTCCCAAACTTATGGTGACTTTTTTGTTTTCTAATGAAACAATTTATAAAGAATTCACACACCTGCATTGTTAAAAGACGAGTTCTTGCAGATAGTTTAAACACCAGTTTAAGATTCCAGGATAACATACACTTATTACCTGGCAATGACCCTGGGGATATGGAAAATCCAAGTTTGGTCGTCTACAGTTTACGATCTTCCTGTAGTTTTTCTGTTTTGTTTTCCAAGGGTTTTGCAGAACGACTGGAATCTCCAGTATGGAAACAGCTTTCCCTGGAATTTCACTCTCTACTTTCCTTTCACAGACTCCTCCTCCTCCTCCAGCAAAACTCCCACAGCCACAGAGCTGCAAACCTCACCTTTGGCCATTCACCTTTTAACGCAGAGCTCTCCTGGAGCCTTTGACGTGCTCAGCACAGCCACCTGGGCAACAAGCACACAGAGGTGAGTATTTGTGTCACTGCCTGTGAATAACCAAGTCATCAAAAAAAAGTTGGTTCCTTTCACCTCCCTTGGGCAGAGCTTGTGCAGCTCAGCCCGTCACCGGCAGCACCACTTTGAAGAGGGTTTTTGTACCTGCTCCGTGGTTGAGAGGTTGTGCTGTGCCTTGGGAATCCTTTCCTGGAGTCAGGTTCGGGACAGGCTGTGTCTTGCCCTGTGAAACAGCTCAAAAATACCAGTGAAGACTTGAGTGGGAATGGGGATGTGGCTCACGAGGCTGTGCCAGCTCTGCCAGGCTGGCAGCTCCCCCAGCACGTGGTGGCTGAGGTCTGTTCCTGGCACTCGGGGCTGGTCTAAGCCCAGCTCCTCACACCCACCTTGCAAATCCCCACTCCCACCTCTGTCACTCAGCCCACAGTCCTTGCAGAGGGGACAAGCAGTGAAGGGAGGTTAGAAGTGCAAGTGTCTCCTGGGGAGACACGAGTGTGGAGGCTTTTTCAGGGTGTGCTGGAAAGGTCTGGGGAGAGAGAGACCCTCCGAGTCCCCGTGGGCGTAGAAGGGCACACACCACGTCATGGGACTGTGCCACAGTCCATGTCCCACACCAGGGCATGCTCAGGAAGCCCTGGGAACTGCCTCTGTCTCTCCTCCTGATCTCTCAGTGTCCCCTCTCGTGGGCAGTTTTGGGATGGAGCTGCCCCTTCCTGGGAAGGGATGGTTGGCAGATGCCACTGAGTGCTGGGCTGATGCCCTCGACCACCCAGGAGCCAGCTCTGCTCACTGCTGCAGCACTCCCAGGGCTGCCAAAGCCAAGATGAGGGATGTCCCTGTAGCAGCAAGAAGATGAACCTTTTGTCTGGCATCCACCTTTTTTTCCCCCCTTAGTTTTGATATCCAGGATATGTCCGTGTCCCTTTGCAGCAGAGACACTCCCACTTCAGTGCTTGTTCTTTGTGGGCTTAGAGAGGACCAAGAGCTGTCGAGGTTGCTGTTGTCTCAGAAGTGCCTGAGAAGGCAAATCTGGGTGCAGGCCCAGCAAGAACATCTCGGCTGTCACTGACTCAGGAGCTTCCCTTTGTGTTTGTAGCCCTCCCCCCGCGGCTGTCCCAGCCCCTGGTTGGGTGTGCGTGGAGAGATGTGTGTTAGTGGGGGCTCCTCTCCAGCCCTTTGTGGCTGGGCCAAGAGCACTGGAGGTGTCAAGGCAGAGGCCGCTCGGGAAGTCCTCGGCGAGGCTGAGGCTGCGCAGAGCCCTCGCTCAGGGGAGATCACAGAGGCTGCAGGAAGAGCTCGGCCTCCGAGGCGGCAGCTCCGCTCCCCGGGGACGGCAGCGACAGAGGGAACGGCACGTACGAGGCTGGTGGGCTCCTGCCAAGCCTCGGAGACACGGGCTGTGGCCACCCCGGGGGGCCGCCCCTGTCTCCCACCGCACCGCCATTCATAACGTGGGATCTGTTTGAATCAGTTTCCCTCGGAACAAAAGAGCCAGATGAGCCCTCGCACTTGAAAGCGGCAGATTGGGGCTGGTGCTGCTTCCTACGTGAGTGCTGGGAGGCGAATCCCCGGAGCAAAAGGGAATCCAGGAAAATAATAGTAGTGGTGATTCATCTGTGTCTGACATCTGAGCATCCAGGGACCTGCTGCCGTGTTGTTACTGCGCCCCAGGTCTTGAATGGATTCCACAAGCTGCAGGCTCTGGGCTCTGTTCACCTCGGTAGTCGAGTGAATTCCTTGCTCCTTTACGGACTCCAGAACGTGAATGTGCACCCCTCACCCATGGATTCATCATCCTCGGAGCCCCAGGAGCTGCAGGGTTTCACAGTGCCCGCTCAGGTGGTTATTTCACAAGGCCAGCACCTTCACTGGTGTTTCCTGGTAGGGGTGTGATGCCATGTGTTTTACAGGAGGGCTCCGAGAGCGCAGCTGGAGGGCAGGATTGGTGTCTGTGTCTGGAGATGGGCTCATCCTGCTCTTACTGCCAGCAGGATTTAACCACGTTTGGTACAACAGAGCTGAGCCTGTCCTTGGCTCCACTTGCAGAAGTTGGATTGGGAGTAAGTTCAGTTGCACTGGTTAATGCCAGAATAAACCACTGGACCTTGGCAAAGGCTTTGCTGCTTTGGAGAGCCATGAATCTCCATGTAATGCAAAATCCACCATATTCACAGTGCCTTACTACCTGTCTCACAGAGACCTTGCCCAAACAACCTATTCATCAGAACCTGAAATAATGGTTTCTCTGTCCGTGCCTGACTTGATAAACCACAGTTTCCCTTGGCTCAGCCTGTAAAAAGTGCTTCCATGATCACAAAAGCAGATCTTTTTCTAATGACGTATATCCACTGCAGAAAGTTAATTCTGGTCTTCCTGAGGTGCTGTAAAGCAACAGAAGGTGGATGTTGGCACATGTTTCAGCACTAGGAAAACGTGTGTAAAAACCCTGATGTAAATCCATTGCTTTGGGGGAAAAGGTGCTTTTTCCATGATAGTTTACCCTCATTTAAGTGATTATAACAGGCTCTGCATGGGGGAAGCTACACTCATCCCAAAATAGTAAATAAACTAAACTGGTGTGGGCAAGTTCAGGATGCAGCCAGTGCTGATGGAGCAGCCTGACACGGGGGCTGTGAGACCAGCAGCCTTGAGCTCACCTCAGAACTCTTTCAGCACAGCCCCAGGTGGACACCAAGGTTTGAATCACAGGAATGACGTGCTTCCCTGTGAGTGCCATCATGAGAATTGGTCCTTCTCTGTGACAGCAGAGTGCTTGGGGGTCCAAAGTGCAAAGGTGTTGGTGGGAGGGCAAAGGGCAGATCCTTCCATCTGAAGGGAGCAAAGGGAACCTTCTGTGTGTCCCCATCCAGTCAAATATAACCCAGACACTTTCCTTCAGCATCCTGGGCAGCCTTAAGCACCCTGCTCCTGAGATGTCCAACTTCATAAAAATGACTTTGTTCAACATGAATTGAGAGTTGCCCTTTGTGTCTGTCTGACCCAAAGCATTGCTAGTCAATGGGAGTGTTTCCATTTGCACTACATCCATAGAGATCATTTTGACCCTATTTTTCCCGTGTGTTTTTGCTCTGCCTTAACTTTGGATCCCCAGAAAGCATTCTCTTCCACAGGGAAGTTTCTAGCTTTGCTAAAAAAAAAAAAAAAAAAGGGTAATTTCTTTTACTCTCTGTTTGCTAGAGGAAGGCTTATTTTCTTTAATGCTTTGGATTTTTTTCCAGTTTCTGTCCTGAATTTTTCAGTGCTGCTGGATGCTACAGCACTGGTGTGAAGTTCAACCTCTACTCCGTGTTCTGATGGAGAACACAATATAAAGCATGAAACCTGTGATGGAAAGGTAAGCAGCTATTAAATTATATTTATCTTCGTATTCCCTGTTGGTCTAAGATCCACCAGTGCAGCCAACCTATTTCTTCTTTGGTGATTGCATCAGGTTTAAATTTTTTCTAAGCTCCTCAGACCAAAACTCAAACACTTCAGAGCCCTGTGAGTAACGGCATTTCCTAATCCATGGTATTTTGCCATTTCTTACATCAGGAAGTGTCCCGTTGCGCGATAACCGTCCTCAGACCCAGCGCTGTCAGGATTTTTGTGAAATCCCTCACTTTGGGTCAGCGCGCTGCTGGGGGTGAGGGGGGCGGGACGGGACTTTTTTTGGTGTGGCAACTGCGGTGTGTCCCCATCGGCCTCAGCAGCAGCACCCGAGCCCTCGTGTTTGGCGACGTTTTACTCCTAAATTATCAAAGCGTGCCCAAAAAACACCGGGGAGCCGCCCAGGCACGACCCCGGGACGGCACCCCCGTACGGGTTGCGGGGGTCCGGGGGGTGCGGGAGCCGGGGCAGAGGGTGCGGGAGCCGGAGCCGGGCGATGCGGAGGAGCCGTCCCGGGGCCGGGCGATGCGGGGGCGCCGTCCCGGTCCCGCGGGTTCCCGGCCAATGGCTCCGCTCCGCGCACTCCCCGCCCCGCTCGCCCCATGTGCAGAAATAGCCCCGCCGCCGCCGGCAGCGGCTTTTCCGCGGGGAGCGGCGGCAGCGGCGGAGCATCCCGGGCGGAGCATCCCCGGCAGGACCATCCCCGGCAGGACCATCCCCGGGAGCACCGTCCCCGGGCCCGTCCCGTCCCGGATGGCCCCGCGGCGGGTCCCGGCGGCGGGCGGGCGGTGAGCGGAGCCCCGCGGGCGGATGCCGGGCGGGGGCCGGGCGGTGCGGGCAGCGGGGGGCCGCGACCCGGGGCTCGCCGCGCCCCTCCGGCCCCCCACGGCCCCGGAGATGGGCGTTTGGCTGCCCCGTGGCTTGTTGGTACCTGCGGGAGGGCGCCCGGTGGAAAGTCCCTTCCCTTCATGAGCAGCTCCTGCTCCTCGCCCCGGGCTCTCGCCATGGACACTGTGAAAACCACCTACATCGTGCTGGAGCTGATCATCGCCGTGCTGTCCATCGCTGGAAACGTCCTGGTCTGCTGGGCCGTGGCCATCAACAGCACCTTGAAGAACGCCACCAACTATTTCCTGGTATCCCTGGCGGTGGCTGATATCGCCGTGGGCTTGCTGGCCATCCCTTTTGCCATCACCATCAGCATTGGATTCCAGGTGGATTTTCACAGCTGCCTCTTCTTCGCCTGCTTCGTGCTGGTGCTGACACAGAGCTCCATTTTCAGCTTGCTGGCCGTGGCCATCGACAGGTACCTGGCTATTAAGATCCCGCTGAGGTAAGAGACTGGAGTGGATGCAGCAGCCCCACTCCCTGACAGCCCAGGGTCTGATCTTCCTTGTCTTAGTGTTCAGGAACTTCTAGTCTCAAGAATATTGTTGCTCACAGGTGATGATAAAAATAACAGAGGTTTTGGACTCAGCTGCCTTGGGACTGGGATCGGTTTCCCGCCTCTTACCTCAATATACACCTGGAAGCTCAATTCCTTGAGGATGATTTTCTTGGGAGGGTCAGTGGTTTCTTGGGGTTGGGGCATGGAGTGTTGTAATGGTGTGTTTGGGATAGCTGTAGCTAATCTATGTAGGTATTCATACAGCCCCCTTTATTGTGGTGTGCAGGCATCTCCCAGGTAATTAAATGTAGGAGCAGCCACTCTTTCTCCTGCTCCCTACTGTGAAAGGGAAGGATAAAGTGTGCACATGTCAGATCTCAGAGTTTTACAGTTCAGACTTCCATCCAATTGCAGCATCAAAGACATTAACTGGTTTCCTTTTAATTCATGGGAACTGAATTATAATGGGGAAAACTGTATGGAATATAACTTACAGACACCCCACCAGTGAGTTGCTGCAGCAGCTTCCTTAAGCTTAAGTGCACCAAACCCCGGCTTTGCATTATAAGCGACCCGAGTTCCTTGTCTCAGCCTCCTTCATGTCTCATTTATCCCTCCCTGAGAACATGACATTGATGGACCCCACTGGGGAGTCCAGAATGGCTCCAGGGACTGGTCAGGAGCAGAGGCTGTGGGGGAGCAGGGCAGATGTGGTGTGGGGACCTCAGCTGAACTCTGTTAGCTGCAGCTTTCCTGAATTCCGCCCGTCTCTGGCACCTCCTTGGCACCAGCGATGGATTCACCTTAAAATGACTTAAAAAAACACCCCTTCACCTGTTCTGGCACTTTGCATCTGAGACCTCACATACACTGAGCAGATATTAATTGGTCACCAGGCAGATGATCAGAACTGGCAGTGGAAATGTGTGGCTGGGTGTGTCACCCGAGCACGGCGTGTGGAAATTCCGGGGCACGCAGAGTACGTGGGGGCAGATCTGCAGCCCAGCACGGAGCAGGGCAGGTTGTTTCCAGCACCTCCGACCCTGGCTCTGACCTCCCCAGCCACCTGACTGGGCTTCCAGACCCACCTTGGCTCTGGATAATGCTTTGGTGCCTCTTCCTTTTGTTGGTTTGAGGCTTTCTCGGGACGGGGGGTGGCGGCAGGTCAGGGGTTTTGAAGTTAGTTTAGTCATACCCCTGGCCACAAGCTGTCAGGCTGGGCTGTAGCTCTATTTTTGCACCACAAGCTGTCAGGCACGGCCGTGGCTCTGCCTTTGAGCCACAGGCACTTTCTGCAGCTGAGGAAACGGAATGTGGTGAGAGGGGCTTGTGCTCCACTGGGATCCCAGGGGAAGCAGCAGGTCGGGAACGCTCTGAGGGGGCCGTTCGTGGGTCTGCAGCAGGGAGGTGGTTTTGCCAGCTGACAAAATGGCAAGTATTTTCCTCCACTCTCTTTTTTCATTCCCCAGTCCTGGTCTCGAGCAGGTTTGCTGGACTCTCCCTCAGGGCGGTTCATCCCAGGGCAGTTCGGCCTTGCCTCGGGATCCTTTCCCAACATCGCTTTCTCACCCCGTCTCCCGCCAAATCTTTTATTCCTTTTGCACAAACATCTTTATTCCTGTGAGTGCTTCCTAGCTGGACACAAATGGAGACCAAGCAGTCCCATCCTGGGCTGTCTGAAGTGCGAAGTTTGGATTAAACTTGGTCTTGGCACTGAGACCCAATTCATTGCTCCCAGAGGGGACCAGCAAGGAAAACTCCTTTCAAAGGAGGGGGTTCTCCCTGTGAGGAGCACAGGGCAGTGGACAGGTCACTGCTTTGGCAACAGGAGATTTAGGGACTGGTACTGAAAGGCTGTTTTTGGCTGTATAGCCAAGATCAAAAGAGGAGAGAGGAGGTTATAAAACTACACAGGCAAAGCACTTCTCTTCTCACCAGGATTTTCCAACCAAGGCTTGGTTAGAGCTGCCTCATCAGCACTGTTATTCCTGAGATGCTCCAAGGTACTGCTGGCAGTGAAGGGGGAGGAACTTGTCCCACCACCGGCTCCAGGTAGATGCATGTGCCATTTCTGGAAGGAGGTTTGTGCTGTGGGAAGGGAAAGCTGGTCATCAGTTTGTAAGGAAGGAGACCTTAGGAAAAGTTTTTCTCATTCAAACACTCACTCTGGAGGCCAGTGCAGAGGCTGATACCAGTGCATGAAGTATTAAACGTTTAAGAAAATGATTTGTGCCCAGCCCTATCCAGCAATTACAATAAATAACGTGGTTGTTGCAGAGCAGATAAGTGTCCCTGTCACATCCAGAGCACCACCAGCTCCCCATGGAAACCTCGGCAGGGACATTAAGAACTGTCTGTGCCATATTATTTAATGCTCTTTCAGAGCTGTTTGAGGCTGCTGAGAGGCTGGGCAGGGGTGAGCAGCAGAACTTGCATTACAGCCAGGCTAATAATGGATTTTTCAGTTCTGTGGCTGAACCGAAAAATCCCAAGGGGAAGAGGAAAATTGTTTCAGTCAGACTGGAACAACAATGTTTGGAGGTTTCAGTGAAACAAAGTGATCCTGACCAACCTGGCAGATTTTGGGTTGAGTTGTTTAACCCTTCCGATGTGGCTGTGCTGCTCTTCGAGATGGGGACGCCCTCGCTGGGGAAGGAACCGACAGCTCCTCATCTAGAGAACTGCAGAACAAAAATCTTACTTAAAAATGGTCGTTTAGGACCCTCCCTCTTCTGGCTAAAAATATTTGCTGAATTTGACCTGAAGCCACGAATTCCTTCTGTCCCTTGGAACTGCTATTTTGTTTGTTTGTTTTTGATGAGTTTACTGTTTGTGGAGAAGCCCCCGCCCACGCTGCCCACTCTGTGCAGCTGCAACTCCGAGCCCTTCCCTGGGTCCCTTCTCCCCAGCCATCACACCAGGATGCAGCTCCTTGTCCTCGAACGTTCTCTGCCCCTACCTTTGCTTCCTGCACCCTGCTGGACTCCGGCGCTTCCAGCCTGTGGTGTGCCCATCCCTGTGCTGCCCGGGCACACAGCACCATCCCTGCTCTCCTCTGCCAGCCTCACCTCCCCAAAAAAGCTCACTCCCCCCCAGCACTTCCTCCAAGCACAATATCCGTGCCAGGAGCATCTCTCAGCAGCAGCAAATCCGTCCTGCAGAGCGCTTGGCACGGGAGCGACGCGAGGCTTTTGCTCTCTGGCTTCCTCCGGGGCTGGATTTCACCCCACAGTCCCAGAGCTCCGAGCCAAAGAAGATTTGTAGGTGGAATAAAACAGTTTCCTTCTATTTGCATTAACCAAAATCCCTTGGCATGGCTAATAACTGTAGGTACGGATGGATGCCTGGAACAAATGTGTCAGGAACTAGGGAGGGAAAAGAGCATCTGTATATTTAGAGAGCAAAAGGAGAGTGAAATGCTGAACAACCTCATGCTGTGTGTGCCCTTGTCTGCTGGCAACTCCTGCAGGACAGTGAGTGTGGTGCTGCTGCTGCTGCTTCCTGGCAAACATCCCAGCTCGGACCTGTGGAGGGAAAATTATCCCCAGTTCCCTGTGATCTGAGCTGATCTGGTGCTTGTCCTTCCTCCCTGGATTTAGTTCTCTCCCATCTTCAGCTTTGTCCCTAGCAGAAGTGAAGGACTGATGTTCCAGGGCAGCTTTGCCGTGAACTGGAACAGGGTATCCATGGCCATGTCCTCTCCCTCTCTGCACCTCGCTGGCCCCCTGCAGCCAGAGCATCCACGTGTGGATTCACAGTCTGTTAATGGGATCAGGATCTGTTAATGGTGCTGCCCTGCTCTGCCTCTGCTCCTGCCAATCTCCCACAGGAGCTGCTGCCCCTCTTCTATTTGACATGGTGAAGGCAACAATCCAGCTCCTTCCTGAGGTCCTCATGGGGACAAATTAAATTTGGATTGTTGCTGCTCTTTTCTCATCCTTTCCAGAGGTGGGTTGGCTGAGGCTGTGGGTCTGCCTGCCCTGCTGCTGCAGAGGAGATGTTCCCTTCATGTTCCCCAGCAAAGAACTCCCACATCCCTTTCAACTCCCAGCTTTTCCCTCAGCAAAGCAAACCGGTGGGTTTGCATGGCAGGTGGGAGGACTGGAGTCACTGGAGAGGAGAGAAAATCCCCTCGGTCTTCACCTGCCACTCACTGTGCCACCAGAACATGCAGAACTGCAGCTGCTCTTCCTTCTTCTGCCCTCTCCTCGATTCCTTTAATCCTCGCACTGCCCTTTATCTGAACTGCCGGGCGTGTCCCGCCTGTGGCTCTCACAGCCCGATCCTGCGCCCACCAGCACGGGAGGCATCCACCCTGATCCCTGATCCCCGATCCCTGATCCCTGATCCCTGAATCCAGAGCAGGGATGCTCTGGCTCCCATCCCTCAGAGCGCTGTGCCTGGCCAAGGTTATCAGTGATTTATAAAGTGTCACAAACTCAGCCAGGCCAGGAGGGCTGGTGTGTCTGCCTGAGGAACGGGGCTGTCACAGCTTCAGGGTCACCAGAACCGGGGGGTTTGTGCCCAGCCAGGGGCTGCCGTGGCCTTTGGATGCAGCCAGAGCACAACAACAACAAGAACATCAGGAATAATCTCATGTGCCCTCATGGCCATGAAGTGGAGAGGGGAAATCATGGCTATTTTTAGTCGGGAGCAGCCTGGTTTCCTCAAAATGCAAGTCCCAGATTTTTATATTTTTCCTGCACCTCAGAGGTCACTTCCCTCCCAAAAAACCAAAAACCCTGACAGGAAAAGGAGTTGTCCTTGAGACCTCTGCCCTGATGCAGCTCCTGCAGAAGCTGGGGGACAGCATGGATGTCAGGGGGCAGCAGGAATGCCAGGAGATGCAGGGATGCTGGGTGAGCAGCAGCCAAAAAAGCCTCATTTCCAGGCTGCTGGCTGAGGGCATCCATCTCCAGGCTGAGCCAGAACCCAAAGCTTTAAGT